GGAGAAGATTGGGGGGAGGGGGAGGGAAATGGGAGGCTGGGAGGAGGCGGAAACTTTTTTTTCTTATTCTCAATAAAAAAAAATAGTATAAAAAAAAAACTTAAAAAAAAAAAAAAAACAGCTTAAGCCCAAAACATGACTGTCACTATTCAAAGTACAGGCAGTAGGACTGGATCCAAATGGTTGCACGCACCAGGTAAGTGCTGTCTAGGTTCTGCTACATGCACTGTGTAAGTCACCATTACAATATAACTCAAAATCTGGAAGGCAGTCATGGGAGTGATCACAGAAAATGATGGCCATTGATGCCTGAATGAACAAATGACCCAATGGCTATTAATGACAGAGTGCCAGCAATTGGCCATGTGTCTTGAGTGTCATCTAATACATTTCCTCATATGACTCTTAGAACAGTGTGGTGGTAGATGCTGGGATATATTTGTGTGTGTGTGTGTGTGTGTGTGTGTGTGTGTGTGTGTGTGTGTGTGTATCCATCCCTTCCATTCCTTAGGCATCAGTTCTAATTATAGAAGAGGCTTGACAGTCACAGGGAGCACTCTGTACCCCCAGACTGTCCTGGAGAATAAATATGGCTAAATGTATTTGAACTCTAGAGACCTGTCAGGAGAAATTGGGCAAAACCACAATAGTGTGAGCACATCAAAAGGATGGCATGTATAAATTTAGACTTCGTGTTTTAAGCCATCTTGGCAGGTTGTGTCATCTCCTTCAGACAGGAAGGCTGAGCAAATAAGGCACCTCTACAACTGTAATTAAGAGAATCGTTTCCAAGCTAATTATGCCATATTTATTCATACAAAATAAAACTGTGTTGACAGGTAGTGATTGAATACAGACATGGGCTGTCAGGGAAAAGGGGGAGGAAGGAAGCTCTTAAAATAGGATAAATGTTGACAATTTTGCAAGCATGGGGATAATTTCTGGATCTGTTCCTGTATGCTTTCACTTGATGCTGTAGAGTCCCTCAGTTAGCTACTTAACTGAAGCACGAGGTGATGCAGGAATCATGCACACACATGACCCTAAACGTTCGTTCCTGAGCATCCTGTTGGAGTCTGTGGTCTTGAAAGAGCTCCTATGTCCACTGAATTATTTTCATAGCTGTGAGTCAGGTGCTATATTTTTTTCCTTATACTGGTGGAAACTGAAGCCCCATCACTTAGGTCACTTGCCTGACTTGTCAATCACAACGTGGTGGATAGAAAAACCAAACTGTGTCTTTTAAATGAAAACCTAATGTGGTTTCCCACAAAACTAACCACAAGCACTCAATAAGGAAAATGTCAATATTTGTCAAATTAGCATGCAGATACATTGCTATAAATTTTCATCAAACCAGAACTTACTGCACTTTTGACTTAGAGCACATAGAACCTTACTGAATTCTTATGTGACAGGAGCAGCTTCCATATAAATTGTGCTTCATGAATTTAGTTCTTAGGATAAGCTTTTAGAAGTACAATCCCCAAGGAATAACAAAGTCTGAACATTTTCAGAACTGGATACCCAGTGTCAGGTATAGATATATGGATAAACATCCACAGTAGAAAACAAGTATGCCAGAAAATTACAACACCATTTTCCTTTGTTTATTCTTTACAACTAATTACTAGACATGAACCATCTCTCAGGACACAGTGATGAGAAGCAGGCATTACACAGGTATCTCAGACTCTAGCAGGCAGACAGATGCTAAGAGGAATAACGATTCCGGTGTGAGCCACATTCGGAATGCAGCTACCATGCCAGGGCACTGTTTTGGTTCTCAACGCATGTTAATGCAAGTATCATACAATTCCATTAAGACAAAGCCACCAGTGTGAAGCAAGATGAAGGTCCCACAGGATAAAATCTCATCTCATGCACAATTTTTAAAAAAGCATCATAGAAGATTGTCATTGGGCCATTTGTGTATGAACTATAACAGTTTTAATATATCTAATGTGTTTGTAAATATTCCCATATCTGAGAAAATATAAACCACAATTACTTTGGCTTTGAAGTACTCTGAATGCTGGGCGGTGGTGGCGCACGCCTTTAATCCCAGCACTCGGGAGGCAGAGGCAGGCGGATCTCTGTGAGATCGAGGCCAGCCTGGTCTACAAGAGCTAGAAACCATGTCTCGAAAAATTTAAAAAAAAAATGAAGTACTCTGAATAAAGGAAACTTGACCTGTCATCACTCAGACTGCAAACACACACACACACACAGAGACAGAGACAGAGAGAGACAGAGAGAGAGAGAGAGAGAGAGAGAGAGAGAGAGAGAGAGAGAGAGAGTGTCAGGGAAGGGCAGAGGTTGTGTTTGCACCCAGCAATACCCAGCACTTCACTCTCTGCCTTGCATCACCATTCAATAATCATACAAATGAATGTGAAGTCACATGCCAGGGTCACCAGCTCTGCTTGTTGGTCTCTAGTTTGTAACACTGACCATGCATTGTGAATTGACTTAGGTACAAGTACTTTTTTACCTTTCTTCCTATTATATTGGAACTTT